AACGGCGGCGGCGAGGCCCAGCAGAGCTCTGAGGGATGTCAGCTGCTCACCCCTTCGCTCCATCCCCGGTGGCAGTAAAGCACCGCGCCCAGTGAAACAGGGGAAGGCGAGGTCCGAGCTCAGAGCACAGCCCTGCTTGCAGAGGGCAAGTAAGATACAGCGGGATATCGGGACTTCGTTCTTAGTTTCCAGGACGGGCGCACCCGAGGAACGCAGGTCTGGCTCTTAAGCTCGGGGCCGTTGCTGGAAAGGGGCCGAGCTGCGACAGCGGAGCGCTCCGTTACGGCTCCATTCGCTGCTGCCCGAACACGGACGCGGCGTTTCCCCATTGCGTTCATCCCCACGTGTCCCTCCCCAGTCCACGGGATCGCCTCCCGTCACGGAGCCGCTCCCCCTCCGGAGGAGGCCCCGGCACTTTGCACACGTGGCGGGGCACGGAGCGCTGCTACGGTCCCGGCGGTGGCGGGCGAAGAGCAGCCGTGCGCGGTGAGGCGAAGACCGAAGCGGCACCGCTGAACAAAGGCGGCGATCACCGAGCGGCCCCGCGGAACGGCTGAGCGAACGGGACGGCGGCGCGGCCCGAGGCAGCGCCCGCACGGTCCCGGCGCGACGAGGCCGCCCCCTGGCGGCAGCTGTGCCGCACGGCGCTCCGCCCGCCGGTGGAGGACGTGGGGAAGCGCCTGCTGAAGAACACCGGGCTTAAAGAGGTTCCGGGGAAGCACGACTAGAAAAGCGCCGAGCGTAAAGACGGGATAACAGCGTGGCAGGATACGAAAAAAAGAGACGGGAAAGCATAGGGAACGCAGAAGCCGTACCTAAAAAGTTTGTATCATCTTTGTTCAACGGCAACGAGGGCGCAGGTGGCACTGTGCTCACGGGAAGGCATTAAGAACGGGAGCGGTGCGGCACAAAAGGAATACCCGAAAACCATGCTCCTCTCAACGCCTACGGCGCCGGAAGAGTACGGGGGAAGAGACGCCCGCAGCTCAGGGGCCGCCAGGGAACCTGCGAGTCACACCTGGGGCGAACGTAACAGTGCAATAAATGACAACACGTGAAAAAAGTTTTTTATTTCTCAGTGTTTCTCCACTGTCAATACTGTCCTTTTGCTGCACCAGGTTGCAAAAAAAAACTCTCTGCCTTTTCCATTTTCAACAGCTACAATATTTACAGGCCGTTTCCAGTGACACACGCAGACACATACACACTCACAGACACGCAGGTACGTATATTCCTATGCCTGGCAAGGTAGCTGGTTGCTGGTAGAGGCAATATATATTGTCATTGTCCATTACAAGCCCTCCTCCTCCCATGCGCCTCTTCTCTCTCTCCATTCAGCAGCTCGAGGCCAAGCTTTTGCGGGGGTACTTCTTACATAAAGATTCCCAGCTACTCAATGCCAGCGTCCAGGGTCGTGGGCTGGGGTTCTCTATTCAAACTGTACACAGCAGAAGTCAAAAACTGCTCCTAGTCAGGTGCTTGTGAACTGTGAGTGATGTACGTGCACTCCTGCACTCTTTTGGAGCAGCCATCTTAATCACCTTCTGGGAAATAAGTATATCATGCTGGGGTGAACAAGCCACATGCTTCACTTTCCACCAAGGTGTTATGGACCCACATTTTTACTAAGGCACCAGTAATGACCAGTTTAGTTTCTGAAAGCGTCCAGCCTCAGTAAATGTACTGCTTTAGGTTATCAAAGACAAAGCCAGACAACAAAAGAATAGATGCCTATATAATAGGTATAAAATTCCTTAATAAAAATAAGTGCATAAAACCTGTGGTGGTATAACCCCAAATCCAATATAGGTAGAATAATATCTGAATAATATTAACTGTAAGAAATGCAATCTATCCTCCTCCATTTTGTGAATGGAGAGTCCTGTAACTGAGAAAGATCGTCCAAGCAGTGTTCTTCTATCTACACTCCTAGGTTGCGTGGTGCCATGTGTATCACCAGAGAAAAACTCTGAAGTTGGATCTGATTGTAGGATGTCCCCTTCTCCCCCTCACCCTGTGCTAAACACAAAGCTCCATGGCCGTTTGTCAGACAGCCAAGGGCACGGAGCTGTGCTGTGAGTTTCCATCTCGCTGCTCACCAGTCACCTGGGCCGATCAGAAGAGCTGTTCTACTCCTGTCAGGGTTATGAGGGTGACGTAAGGAAGCCGGGGGGGAGGGGGGAAATGAACTACATTGCAGGTGGGAAAACAGGTCAACACTCAGGAACACATCTGGAACCAACCTAAAACAAAAAACAAATTTCGGCCCTTGTTCTCCTGCCAACTCTGAAACAATTTCAGAAATGCTGTATCACAAGAGAGAGCCCCTGAGAATTCATCACAATTATTGTACAGAATAAGTGGCACATCACTGGTGTCACATACCCTTTTTTGTTTCTTTTTAATTCAGACCATTTTCAAGACTTCACAGGCTGGAAAAATGCATAAAGACTTAAAATTAAACATCAGCCTGTTTACTGATGGACACAATTCAATCGGGAGAGCTTTGAAGCACTTCTCAGACATCAAATATTTGTCATGGGAAGCAGTAAATATGTATGTATTTATGTATGTATACATAGATATCACCTTCAAAGAAAAGAGAGAAACAAAAAATAGCTTTTTGGATAAATGCACATCTAAAAACAGGAATCTTAACTGGAATCTTCTTACGGCAACAGAACATCACACAGTGAAAAGTGGCCAGAGTTCACGCACTCATCTATGGGTTCTCATGAAAGCTTTGAAGAAACAATCCTGTTCTATGCTGAACTCAATCTAGACTGACAGGACTACCTGGAAAGTCATCGTCCTTTCTACATCTGTAACAAGGGAAAAATACTACATCAGGATGGAAATCACAGAGAACAGAACAACAAGAACAAAAAGTTTCCATCCCGTGGACAGATCTGTCCTGCGGGCAGTTAGAACAAATGCTTTGTCACACTCACAGTGGAGCCAAGATGCAGCCATGTGTCAATCTTTAGCCGTTGGAATGCAGGAAAACTGAAGGAAAAGATACTAGTTTTCCAAAGCCTTATGGAAGAGTAAAAATCACAAGAAGTGACTTCTGTTGAGCAGACCTCAACCATGTGGGAGCGCTCTGTCAATGGTTGCACAGCAGGCATTCGCTGAGTATCTCTGAAAGAAGCTATCAACCTGCAATCCAGCCACATTAAGATCCATCTCCTGCAGGCAAGACACTGAAAGTCTTAAGATTAAAAAAAAAAAAATAGAAAGATCCATCAACTCTCTTTATCCCTTAGGAAAAAGTCTTTCTTTCTCCCCCATCTGCTATTTGCTAGTTTAATTCCAGTAACATATTCACTAGAATTTTTATGTTAACAATCATTAGTTCCTTTCACATTTATCAGCAGCAGTGGACGCTGCTGTTACCTTGCATTGAAGACAATGGTACAGATTGTGCAGAGTCAAGGTTAGCTTCCTGAAAGTTGCCTCAATTAATTTAACAGAAAAACACCATAACAAAAAAAACCCACCTGGGTGTATTTCTCTTTTCAGTCATTTGTTTACCTTAAGGCTCTAGTACAGGGAAAAAAAAAACACCAAACAACTTTCTAGAACAAAGATCCAATTTCTTCCTAAAGAATCTTGATGAAGCAATATTCCTAGTCATACAGGAAACCCTGCAATCCACCTACGGGGTAAGACAGAATAAAACCCTAACCAAAACATCTTCCATCTAAAATATACAAATTTTCTTCATTCCTGACAGCAAAATTACCAGACTACTGACCAAGGTTCATGTGCTGTACTACACCTCCTGAGACACAGCAGATGAATTTAACTATACTACAGCGTGCACATACGATGAGCTACGTGGAACAGCAAGACTGTGTCAACGGTGGCAGATCCAGAACTGTGCATTTCTACCAACATCAACTGCACGTGCATACAGCCACTAGCAATATGCATCTGCAGAATGCACAGCACTCGGAGCACAATTTGCATAGTGTATGATGTAAGCAAGGCCCCAGTGCAATTCACTGGGGAGTTTTAACAATTGTCTAGCTACCAGGCACACAGAATTGCCCTTTTGTAGCTAGCAAGCATACAGCGACTTGAGTCAGAACACCAAGAATTTTTAAGTAGACATTTCTTGCTTTTTTGTTTTTTCCTCCCTCATCCCATAACTTCACTCTTACACTAGGTACATAATGCACAGGGTTTCTCTGAGAAATAACTGCAACCACCTCTGTGGTACATCGGAAGCCTCTTCTGATTACATTATCTAGAAAGAAGCGCAGGTGACTGGGAAGAAGATGGCTGCTCCCAAAAGCTAGGACTGTGTGCAGATACTGCACAGAATCCTACATAATTACAGAAACAGGAAACAATTGCAACAGGTACATTTTTTTTTCTTATGGATTAAGAGGAGTCATAGGAACCGCAAGTCAAAACCAAACCAGTTTCCCTCTCACACTCCCACGGTAGTTCTGAGTTACTTGTTTCCCTGAATACACACATTTAAAAAAATACAATAAAACCTAGGATATGTAACACATGAATAATTCAACTTCACAGTTATAAATACTCAAATTACACTTACATAGAATGTATAATCACAGAAAATAAAATTCAAGTCATAGAAAAGAATGAAGACTGAAGGGAAAGAAAAGGCAAGGTGGCAGAAGAAGTGATACAAGTTTAGGGCTGTGCCTTCTATAAAAGCCTTTTAAAAGTGTTGGTTTTTTTTTTTAATTTATTTATTTTATTTTTTTAATTGGATAGAGTTAAAAAAAAACCCCTTCAAGTATCTCCCCTACAGAACTCAACTATCTGCCAGAGAAGAGCCAATGAAACAACATAGTCAGTTCTGGGCATAAAGAAGCAAGGTAGCTTAAGCTAGCTAAGGGAGGACAGAGGAAAGATAGTGTACTCAGGTCCACTTTTAAAGCTGGATGTGTTGTATGGATTTGAGGTACCACTGCCACAATAGATTCTGATGTAGTACAGGGATACTCAGGTACATGTCTAGGTATTTCTTATTTTACCATTTATTGTGAAGAGGATGCAGCAAATGCACTTGTACGAAATACAGAACATAGAACCAAACCCATGGCACAGCCCTTACCATCAACATGTATATGGAGAGGGAGGGGATTAATCCCAAAGGCAATTTAAATAATGGTATTTTATATACTTATATTTATATATATAAATAAATGTTCTCAGCAATCTCAGGGTTGTTTTTAGTGCATTGCTGTAAAAAATTAGTGCAGTTCTCATTAATGTTTTAGCTCATAAGGAATAAGAATCTATACATCTGTTCAGTCTCTTCTTGCCACTCCTGAAACCTTCACACTGTGTTTCACCAAACTGAATGTTTGTAGTCAATGTCTTTAAAATAAGGTGGATGAATTCCACACACTCGGTGACAAGACATGGCAATTTTTGGCAAAAACAATTAGAAAAATATGAGGTGCTCTGATCTTAGAACTGAAACGTTTGTTGATTTAAAGCATTACACAATGCATAAACAAAATTTATAAACAAAAAGATATGTCTCAACAAATCTATCCTTCATGCAAATGTTTCTTCAGCAGCTAACAACTTAAAAATTTCTTACATTTGTTTATTTGGGGAAAAGGACTTAGACAAATCTGTGTTTCAAGTCCTCTCCTACAACTGGACCAAAGTTTTATGTCCTGGAGCTGCTGCTTCTGGACCCTTCTCTTTCCTGAATCGTTGGAGAAGGGGAAGTTTAAGTCTCAGAGATTTACACTTCAGCCCCAAGTTCAAGGACTCCAGTTTCAACAACAGCAACGTATTTATCTTCAATTTGAACCAGCAGGATGGTCTTATCTATGTGGGACCGACTACTTGGATCTCTGCTGCAAGGCACCCAGCGGTGAATCACCTGGAAAAAAATAAAATAAAAAAAAATCAAGAAAACATGAGTTTCATAGGAACAGCTGTCATTTCAAAGTTGTAGCTGATAATTCAGGACCCTTGCAAGGCAAAGGGAGTAATAACACAATGGCTACACTGACTTAGCTGCTCATTTTTCACTGTTCACATGCCTTCTGATTAGCTATTTGTCTCAGTCTTGCTGAGATCGGCAGCTTACCAGAGGGCACTCAGCACTGGATTTGGATTTTAACACAACTTGAGCCAAATCAGAGCTGAACAGACCATGCAAAGTAAATAACAATTGGAAAAAATTGTACACATACAGGTTAAGAACATTCTGAAATCATAATTTTGAAGCCGCAATACTTCTAAAGTATCCCAGCATTTTGCAGCGCACAACAGCACAGAATGAAGTTTATCGGGAGTTAGGCATAAAACCTGTAAAACTATCTTAGAGATGATATAAAATAAGTTATTTTTACAAAGAGAAATGCTGTTGTACTGAGCAAGAGTAGGAATATAGCACCCTTAGATGCAAAGCACTTCCCAGTCAAGTCCAAATACTACAACCTTGCTGTCCAACATGAAACCAGTGTCTTTGATGTAGTAAAAGGCGGCCTATTACTCCAAAGGCCTGCATATCAATTTTTTGGGTTGTTTTGTGCATGTCAGTGTTGGGAAAAAAAAAACAAAAACAAAAGCAAAAGCTCTCTAGCACATACAAACATAATTCAGAATACACCTTAACCTTAAACTCCTGGAAAAAAAGAAGGAGCTCCAATCTGAAGAAGATGGCTAAATTTCATTTCCTTGAAGAATCCCTACAATGTTTTTGTGTAGTGGATATACTAGCAAAGCTTAGCAAAATAAAAAGCAAAGTTTGGAAAAGTGCTTTTTCAACATAACTGAGAAATTTTTAATAACTGAGAATTGACAGTACTCACAAACTAGATGCTTCTCCTTTACAATCACCCTTAGATGAGTGTTAACTAAGGGTCTTAGAGCTGTGAGGATCAACACAACCTACCCTACTCCTCACAACACATTTAGATACTTTTACAGTTCAAGAAACCAGATACTGAATACCTATTTTTATTACAACTCAAAACCTGTCATAATTAAATTCCTGAATCCTATATCCCTATGCAAAACAAAAAACAAAACAAAAGACAAAAAACAAAAACAACCCATAACAAAAACACGAGGGACAATGTGGCTGTTGCTTCTTATCCATTTTCTCTTTGTTCTTGTCTTAAACCAATCTGTCCTGCTTACTCTTTTGCTTTCTTTTGCTTTTGACTACTGCTTCTTTTCCCTTTTTATGCAGTAGTGAAGTCTATATGCCTCTGAGAACGTGGCCATAATTTTTACACAGGTATCAGAGTACGTATTTTTCTGATACTGAATTTCACACAGGGATGCTGATAGAACAATGCTTTGGCAGGTAGAGTGCTTGATGAGCAGCACCCTAACAGGTAGGAATCAGTTCTTTGTGTTTGGAGAAGGTGCAGGATTAAAAAGGGAAGACTGTCCTAAGAAGTAATGGATTTACTTATGATGTATGCTTATAACAAGTGGCAGAAACTATGTCATTCAAGTTAAATCCATTCCTCACAATCAGACATAAGAAGAAAGGGAGAAAGCACCAGATCATTCAAGGTTAAAAAATGTTCTTCTAAAACCCTGCCAGTATACTGCACCAATAATAGACAAGAAACATTCACTCACTCTCAATCTTTCTGTTAACAGCCATTGTACATCAGCATGGTGCAACTTGCAAGACAAACTGCAGAACCACAGAAGTAAAAAACTGTCCAGTATTGAACAAAAGGACTCATGACTCCAGAACACACTTCAGTTTGTCCTTTTAGGTTCATCATCTTTATGACATTATTTATCTGCAGTAGCTCAAAAGGAAATCTCAAAAAGCATACTGTCTAATCCCAGCTAAATTATGAATATTTACAACAGCATTCTCCTACACATTACATACAAGTTAGTTCTACAAATAAGCCCTTAGGGTGGTCAACTGTGATAGTTATTTGTGCAAGGAACTTGTTTTCAGGGCCCTTCCTTCACATACACTTAACAATATACTCCAAATCTACCTTAATGTAATGGTCCTGTATCCACAATTTGAATGACATCTCCAGCTGAAATAAGCAGACTATCAAAAGATGATTCTTATTAAGTGTCAGAACAGACACATTTAAAGTGAAAATACAGTGGCATCAGTAAACCAATGCAGGTACAAAGTCAGCAGCTCTTACCTTGTACTATTTACCACTGGAAGAATACTCACTGCATAATTTTTAGACGAGAAGATCTATAAACAGTATGCCTTGGGTAAAAAACTAGAAGAATCTACAATGGGAGATGTTTTCCAACTAATCAGTGAATTTTTATTTTCATATGCAGATATAACATCCCTAGGGAAAAGTGAGACTGAGTTTCAAGTCATATGCTTTTGCAAGTTTTAGTTGTAGCCTATTTCCTTCATAAAGGAAACATCAATTAAGTACTTATTACAAAACAAAGATACAAAGATAATTTGGCTCAATTTTCAGAGTAATTTAAAAGCCAAATACTCTTAACCATTCAATTAAAGACTGGTTTGCAAACTGACCTTCAGTATTTTCTAAGGGATTGACAGTTTAAGGAAAGGAAAACGAAGGCTGGATGAGTAAGCAGAATGCCTGAGGTAACAGTTCATGACAAGAGCTGGAAGAAGGCAAGGAAGGAGAAGTGGCTGACAATATTTGAATTGTCTTGTATCTTTTCAGTACAGTAGCAGAAATATACTTCTGCTCCAAATTAGGATTCTAGAACTGCTCTTCCAGCAACACTGACTTAGAAGACAGCTGCTGATCCGACTTACTAGTAGCATGTCATTAGCCTCGACACCCAGACAGGCTGCCTCGTCAAGACACTTTTTTCTTTTAAATTAATTAGCTTGTCAACTTCTAAACAAAAAAAACTTACATGGCCTTCCATGCCTTCCTGAGGACTCCAGTCTTTCCAGCTGTTTCTTCCAGCTTTTAGCCGTATCACCTCATCTGGCCACTGCAGCTCTTTCCTTTTTGACACGTTGATCCCTTCCAGTACTTGACTGGGATCCATTAACTATAAGTAGGAATTGAGTTTTGACTGTTAGTTCAGCCAAAATTTAAAAAGACAGGGATTAATTGTAGCCTTTTCATACTTCCACAGTACTGACTTGACCACACAGAAATCGATATCTGATTTCAATGCTGCAAGCCCAAGCTCCAAAAATACTTGAGCAGCAGAAATGATGGAAATCGGGCGGTAGTTTCAGACACAGCTGACAATCTACTGGTTCACTGCTGCCTGCCTCCCTTCCCCAGCACTTCATTCAGTTACTCTGGTCCACAGAAGAGTCCGAGCCAGCTCAAAGTACAAAATAGCAGCACATGGTCCAGTAGCAGGGAAGAGTTGAGTGACAACAGACTTTTAGGACTGGCTCATCACTTCTAGAGAATTAAACCTTAAGAAACATGGGCTTAGAGAATTCACTAGTGGCTGAAAAGCTATCTTCCTACTAGCATGGTTTGTTGAGACTCCTGAAAACTTCTTCCAACTTAAGGACAGAGAGAACTGCATAACATCCAGTATCCCATGGCATACAGCAACCTCGTCTGTGCCTTCCTCACAAAAAGGAAGGAAAGTTTCATAGAAGTGCCCTTGTCTGTAAACAAAAGCTACTAAGCAGAAACCTGCAAAATTAGTTAACTTTGTCTAATTAACTAACTTAGTTAACTATTATTAAAGATGCAACTTATTCTTAAAAGGAGGTGATGTCAGCAGTGAAGTCAAGTTTGTTATGATCTGACCTATTAAATACTTTTTGGTCTTTCCCAGTAAAATACTGCCAAGAACATGTATGTGCAGCTACTAAAAGCTACAAGAGCAAGAATATTTCTGGATTTTTCACAGAACTCCTAAGGCTGCCAATAATTAACTTAGTCAACGGAATACTGTTTGCTATTCAGTAAGCCACCCTTACAGCAGTAACCAAAGAACACATACACATATAAAATGAAAGCAACAGAATTTTTAACATCTATTTTAGAGGACAATCTACTTGGTAGAAAAGAACACCAGTTGCTTTCAGTCCTGCAGGTGAAGCTCTTTAGCTTTATGCATCATCATGAATAAAACCAGACTAAGCATGGAGAAAAACTGAGTTCAGCTGACATTCTCAAGCCTGTATTACAGGAAAATAAAGGAAGTAATATAAACAGAGATGTCTAAACGTGCAGCAAGAGTGCTTGTCCAGAAAAGCATTTCCTCATATTAGTCTTCCACTTGTAACTGCACAACTATTGTATACAGAGGCATATCAAGTGCTGTGTGTATATTTAAAAGTCATGATTTCAGCAACACACAAGATAACACTAACAAAAGCACACGACTAAGGAAGTTTAAGTTAACTTTTTCTTCTGGACTATTCACCTGAATTCTGTAAATAACGTCATCCTTTTTGGCTTGCATTTGATTTGCAGGGCTTGCATTACCAGCTGACTGAGTTTCAGCTGCATTACTCCCTCCTTCTGTCCCTAGAAAACCCACAAGGGCATGCTGTTTGCAGGCTGGGATGCTTTGGCTGGAGCTGCTGGAAGAGGGCAGACCATGCTGCATGCTGACTCCAGACTGGCCAGTAGGTTCCATTTGGTTCACCATCGACAGGCGGGACTGGATGGATGATGGGAGGTTACGAAGGGATATCTGACTGGTGGAAGAGCGCCGACAAGGCACAAAGCCTGTTGTGGATGTGCGAAGAGATGAATGACGGCTGCCGTAGCAATAGGATGAATGGCTAGCTACTGAGGCACGGGCAGGGGAATGTCTGACAAGGCTCGACTGCACAGAGTGAGAGCTGTGACTGGTGCCTAAAAATAAAAGATACAGAATCAGGAGTTTGGTAAAGCCACCCACACACGTTAGGTTTATGATATACAGTCGTTTTAGCAATTAAATACAAAATTAACGGGTCTAATCAACAGCATCTAAAACAATGGAATTGTAGGATTAAGTATCTTGCACTTAACGTAGCAGAGCATTTGAGTGTGTCTCACTCATTTTATCATGGAATCTCATTTTCTGTTCTATTCCCAATCCCTGTGAGATAAATCACTTGAAAAATGCTTCAGCCTTGCTCTCACCACGTTAGCAGTTTGTTTCTTAATATTAACGCTTAAGTTCCCAATACTGAAGACAGTACAGGAGATAGAGATGTCAGTGTTTCAAAAACGCAAATATTCTTTCTTAATATGCTTCAATGGATGTTCAAAGACTCAGACTGGATCAGAAAACAGAGCATATTTTTTAAGCATTAAGAAAATTTTAATGTAAAAAAATAGCAGTTTATGAATATTAAGTGTCATTCCTAAATGAAGAACTTGTATAAACCTCTTCAGAGCTGCAGAGGTACTCATGCTACCTTTAAGTTTGCTTTAAAAAAACCCAGCGTGAACAGCTACTTGCACATTTATATTCTTTGATCAAAGGAAGTATTTATAAAGCTTTTTTTTTGTTGTTATTTTACTGCTTATTGCCTCACTAGTTTCAGATCAGCATTCTGTTGGGATTTAGCTAAAATACAATTGAGATAGATGATCCACTCCAGTATACACATAAGAAAAATACAAATACATTAAAAACCAGCAAGCTTAACGTTAACAATCAACAAGGCAGAAGACATAAGATGAATCAATCTGTAGAGATTTGCTGCACAGTCATGTAGCCTGTTTTGCAAAAATAACTAAACTTTAACAGGATAAGTCTCTGTTTGGAAACTTTCCATTGGACAGAACAGCACTGCCGCGTGAGAGGAACCCAAACAGGTGTTAATAAAATAATCAAGGTTTGTACATCTATCTGTTCTGTCCTTCCTATTAGCCTAGGCCAGATCCAAAGAGTGGAGAGACCGGTTCTGGCTACAGGATTGTACTTGTGAAAAATTGTTATAGCTGTATTTTAACATTACCCAGAGTGGATGGATGAGTTGGTGGATGAGCTGCAGGAAGCGCAGTGGGATGAGCCCCGGGATGAGGTGCCACAGGAGGGTGCTGTACTGCTCCAGGTCCCTGCCCTGTAGGTGCATTCACTCCTCCTTGCGACACGCTGCTCTGCGACTCATTGATAGTGGCATTGTTACTTGTGCAAGAAGCCCCGCCTCCAGCATCCGAATCTTCAATATTTCCACCACTGTTACAGCCAGCTCCACAACCTTTCCTTAGTCTGAAAACACAATGCAATTAACATTAAGTCACATCATCTGAGCATAAGGAATCTAAGAAACACCACACTCAGCATAGTCTGTAAAGTCAGTTTTGTGGATTTTTTAAATTAGATTTTTTAGACAATGCTATTTTCTCAGAACAGGCTTTGTAAGTATGAATGTCATTTTCAAGGAGATCGTAATTTTCTTCAGGAGAGCCATTCAAATAACAGCTGTGATAAACTAAGAGTTGAGATAAAATAGCCCTTGGAAGAGAGAAGGAAAAAAGTGACCTCTGAATCAATAGTTCTAAATACAAAATGCTAGAAGAATATCTTGTTATTTTGCGACAGTTTAGTAAATTTATGCTTCTTAACATACTAGTCATACACTCTCTCATACAGCAAAAACTTATTTAGATTAGGAGTAATTTTTTTTTTAATTTGGTTTCTTGTTACTTTCAGTGACATAATTATTATTTTCAAGTATGTGTTGCAATTATTTGAATCAAATACTTCTGCAAATTTTGAACATTCAGATGGCAACTGACATTTTCCAGCATATATCATCATACAAGATTTTCACCATATTGTTTGCACTGGTAAACCTCAGACAGACACATAACACAGCATGTTCCTTCTTCCTTTCAATTCCTACTGTCCATTTTTTTTTTTCTTTTGGTCCCACTGAAAATACACCAATAATTTTTTTTTTTTCCTTTGCCCCTGGGATCCAGAACAGCTTGGATCCAAATACTGTCCTGTATTATATGTTCACCTGTTGCTCTACCCACATGTCAGACAAGCAGATGGTGACAGAAGACACATGCCACAGACTACAGTAAATGTAGCACATGCTGAATATGTTCTGTTTAGATGTGCTGTAGATGCCTATGTGTACACATGACCATAGAAAAGCAAGAGGATTATTCCAATATGGGACCAGCTCCTGAAACTGGTAAGAACATGTTTCTGAATGCCATGCAAACTGCCATGGTTGCTTTTACAGCCACAGTCATAAGGAGGCAGAAGTGAAGTAAAAGTTCTAATGGTCTACAAAACACAGCACAGCAATACTTTGTACCAGGTTACCTGAAGGTTATGTGCAGGGTGGATTACACTAACACCACTAGCTGCATATTCTAGCTCTGACATCCTTGATAAACATATATATATTATACATTAAAACTCTGAACAATAACTAAAGTTTTGAGCTGCTGTGCACGAGCACACCAACATTACACCTGCACGCTGCATGTTTATCTTAGTGAAGACAGCAAAAGTAATGAAAGTAATGATAACAAAAAAAGTAATAGAGTAGTTGGATTGTATTTTGTTATCAGACCAGAAATAAGAACTGTAATTGTAATTCTTGCACACAAACTTTATTCTCTAAATTTTTTCTAAGCTGTCACTCAGTTTGTGCTTTAATGTTTACAAGCCTTCAAAGCTAACTCTGTGCCAGGGCACTTGCCATATTCTAAGATGTGCTTGAAATAAAAGTTTACTTATTTATTTGCATGTAACTGAATGCTAGAAAATTACACCCTGGTTAGCATGTATGTTAGCCTGAGACTAGTTAATGACATATAAGAGCACAAACATATACTTGTGAGAACTCATTTTCTCAGCTCACCTGTGCCATGTAGACACTATGAAGTTTCTGATATTTCCTAAGCTGATAGCTCCTCCAAGTATCTCCTTAAGCTGTTCATGACTATCAGAATAGGATGTAGTCAAAGGTGAGACATAGATTGGGTAACCAATTGGCTGGTCACAGGAGGAGTTGATCATGTTCCTCAGAGCTTGTTTTGCATTTTGGATACTTCCTCTTTCTGGATTGCGATTACGCAGGAAGACAAGCTCCTGTTGTTGTCCTGCCCACAGGCCACGCACACACTCCTTATTCACCTGCAAAAGATAAATGACAAAAGCCAAGTAAAAACGCTGTATCAGCAAGCAAAACATGACTAAACTGCTTTCCATATGTAGACTTTTACACATGTATGTGTAATTGTGCTACAGAACCACAGCCATTCATATTCATGAAAGGGCTGACCTGATGGACACAGCCCGCAACAGTAAGAATAAGGAGAGCGTAAGAACTGAATGAGAAATAAAACATTCGAAGTCAGGAACTGATATCCTGATATCCTGAATGAATCCTACTTCTACTACAGAAGAAGCTGCCCCAGCAGTGACAGGCCAGCAACACCAAAATAATTATCTGAGTTAGAAGTATGTAGTGGTACATCTTAATCATACCGTTGTGGAACATACACAAAACTTACCTTAATGACCCTGAAACTGAGATAGCGCTTATTCAGCATAATAATTTTGTATTCGTTGGTACCATCATCCATCACGTGACGCAGAGCAAGGAGGGAGGGAGAATTGGAAAGAACAGCACTCCGCCAGGCAGGGTCCCCTTCATGTGCTATAACTAGATTTTCCTCATGGGTTGTTATGGCTTCATAGAGAACAGAAGGATCATCGTATTCATCTGGAGAAGTGAAGTGATCCTGTTTCCAAGAACAATTGGTAAACTATGACTGATACTTCAGGTGTAACTATGTATAAAAAGCAAGCAACTTGCACCTCAGGGAAGATTTGCTTCCTTTAACTGGAAAAGAAATCATTCAAAGGACGAGCCTATTATTTATTCAGTTGAATTTTACACTAGACTTGTAGAATCACAGAACAGTTTGGCTTGGAAGGGACCTTTAAGCCCACCTAGTTCCAATCCTCCTGTCATAGGCAAGGACACATTCCACTAGACCAAGTAGCTCAAAGTCCCATCTGGCTTGGCCATGAACATCTAAGGATGAAAGACATGACAGGATATTCACTCATTTTCAGTTATCTGCCTCTACCACACACCTCCTCCCCTTTATTTTCCTCCTCTCTTTCTGAAGCTATGTATTCTAATTTTGACCTCCCTAACTTTCCTGGAAACTTGAATCTCAGCAGTAAGGTTTGACAATGACACTGGCTACCCTTACATACACTCATTATCTATCTGCACATCTTCCTTTAGACATCTCTTTAAGGGAAGAAAAATAATAGTCCTCCAAAGCAAGCAGTAAGAGCTGAGTGTCTCTCTCCCAGCACTTTACATTTAAAAGAAAGAACGTGCAGAAATAAAAGTCAGCTTTCCATCAAATTCCTCACCTGATGTAGTTTAAGTGACATTCGTATTCCAGGAACCACTACTTTCCTCAGCAATTCCATGTCAGCAAAGATCCATTCATCCCTAATTGAAGAGATACGGAAGTCGCCCTTAAAAAGGGCATGCAAGCCATACAAGAAGGATTCCAGATTACTGTTGAGGAAAAAAAAAAGTTTGTCCATATAATTAATAAGGTAAGGAGATACTAAGCTGTACATGAAGGCATACCACTCTTCTCTATAAATAAGAGAGAAGATGGAAGGGAAAATACAAGTGAGCATTTGTGTAAGTAAAGTCTTGACACAAGGTGTCTACATGCACTAAAGTGAAGATGAATAAACTATATAGGCAAGTGACTATTTACATGGACTCGAGTAAACAGGAACTCTATTGAACACCTGATTTTATTCTGAAGATTATTAAAAGAAAAGGCTTGAGTACAACACCTCAGTGGATCAATCAAGAATAAGATAAGATAAGTAGCCTCAGTCGTGGATGTTTTAGCACGAAATCAAGTCTTGATAGATAACCCATACTTAGTGACATCTTTTACTTTTACTAAGCTAATGGGAGTCTAGTGAAAAATCAAACGCTCTGATCACTCTTGTGACTGCATATCTCTAAGATCTTCTTGGGGAAGTGTCATGGTTTTATGATTTTTGGTCATCAGTATTCCACACCATAACA